GGGTACTCGGGTTCTCTGTCACGGTCTGTGATGGGTACCCGGATTCTCTCTCACGGTCTGTGATGGGTACCCGGGTTCTCTGTCACGGTCTGCGATGGGTACCCAGAGTTCTCTGTCACGGTCTGTGATGGGTACCCGGATTCTCTGTCACGGTCTGTGATGGGTGCCCACGGTTCTCTGTCACGGTCTGTGATGGGTACCCGGATTCTCTGTCACGGTCTGTGATGGGTACCCAGGGTTCTCTATCACGGTCTGTGATGGGTACCCAGGGTTCTCTGTCACGGTCTGTGATGGGTACCCGGATTCTCTGTCACGGTCTGTGATGGGTACCCACGGTTCTCTGTCACGGTCTGTGATGGGTCCGGAGGTTCTCTGTCACGGTCTGTGATGGGTACCCGGATTCTCTGTCACGGTCTGTGATGGGTACCCAGGGTTCTCTATCACAGTCTGTGATGGGTACCCAGGGTTCTCTGTCACGGTCTGTGATGGGTACCCGGATTCTCTGTCACGGTCTGTGATGGGTACACACGGTTCTCTGTCACGGTCTGTGATGGGTCCGGAGGTTCTCTGTCACGGTCTGTGATGGGTATGGATTTTCTGTGTCACGGGGGGAGGGGGGGGGGTGGGTCCAAAATTTCTACCCTATACACTTCAACACTCCTTTCAGATCGTGTTTCACAAAATGATTACTAATGATAATGCTTGAAGCTAAATCTCTTTATTGTTGACATCTCAAGGTAAGTAGGGCATACTTGGAAGTGAACCAGCTTGTTTGCTGATCCGGTCCAGATGAACTGTTAAAACCGGCCGATTTTCACCAGTTTTTTAGCCGATCTTGTATCAATTTTTGGGGCATTATAGCTAGTCTAATATGTTCGTTTTTATCGATTTCCATGGCTTTAACGATTAAGACATATGAGCTGAAGTTCTTGACTGACAAATTTGTAGTCGTCATCAGAATTCCAGCTCTAAATATTGATCTCACGCTTTTTCATCATATGATTAGCACATCGGCTCATGATGAATGATTTTATTACGGTCAGAAAAAATTAGCAATTCATCAGAAGTTTAATTTATTCTGAACTAAAGATTTTTCAGCCCGCAATTTCGAACGCACATTCTACTGAATTACTTTTAACACATTGTCAGAAACTCTCAATAGCGAGTAATTGTCAGTCCATGCTCTCATTACAAAAATATTAGAAAAGATTTCCTTCCGTTGTGAGAGTTATGAAAACTACTAGCCTCATGTAACTATGAAAATATCTAGGTATCAAGACACTTACAAATATTATGCATAGCATAGAAATCGAACTTTGTAGCTAATTTTGTCTTCCTATTAGTGGTCGTTTTATACGAATTGAGAACCCTTTCACTTGAGTTAAATAATGATTTCAACGAAGAAAACATCAAATTATCAATTCCTGAATATATATCATATTTATTGAAGAAAGTCAAGCAAAGCGGAGCCTAGATCTTGTTCAAAATCCGCTGATATGAGTTACTAGATAAAAAATTTGAAAGAATTCTTCCTTCGTTCCTATATTTGTGTATAGGAAACGTGTCAGAGTAAAATAGAAGTTGATTCTATTAGAAACTCCGAGAGTTAGAGTGTGGGTGTGAGTTTTGGTAGGCATACACCAAATCCAAACGGTTTGGATTTGGTGATTTTGCTCTAAATTAGTTTGGGTTTGCTACATGAACTCACCAAACCATCTGACTTTGGCTAAAGCATCGTTTCTGTGAAGTCTCTTTTGTATATTTGAAATGTTATCTTTCATAGAAATACAAGCAAAAGCATATGTCTATGCTTCACATTGTCAAACACCAAAATGAAATTACTCTTAATCCTAAAAGGATAAGCTTGCAGAATGGAGATTCCTGATCGGTCTGTCTACACTCTGAGTAGTTGAAAATTGAAACAACCTTTCTCAGCACAGAAACAACTTTTCAAGATTCCGTGATAATCAATAAATGGTTTTGGGGGCGAGAAACACTAATTTGAACTCCATTTTCCTCGAAACTATACTGGTGAGCCAAGATCTGATGGAAATGAACTTTTTCGAAAATTAGGTCTCCTAAGAATAATCCGGGGCAGAAAACGTATGCGGTTGTTAAGCACCCACACATCGACACCTTCACACTCACCCACACTAACCCATACTTATACTAACACCCACAAAGTGCTCAACATTTTGTCAATATCACTTTCGCCATCAACAGTATTGCCAATTCGCGAATGACCATGGGATTTCCTCAACACACTTTAGGTACTTCTGCTAACACACTAGAGATGAGCACAAGACAAATTTTTCTGTTCTGCCCTGTCCTGTTACCCACCTCTGGCCTGACAGGCGGCAGGATAAAGCATAAATTTAAGTTGTGTCCTATCCTGTTTTGTCTCGTTAGTAACCTCTGCCCTGACGGGCGGCAGGACAGGACAGAAATTTAAGTATTGCCTGTCCTGTTCTGTTCTGTTTGGCCCAATCCTATTTTGTACTGTTACCAACCTCGGTCCTGGAGGATGGCAGGATAGAACATAAATTGAAGTTTTGATCTATCCTGCGACCTTACTGAATCCTGGTAGGTGTTGGGCCAGTAAGAATCCTTATTTTGACTTTACAAAACCGAATTATATAGTGGTTTATTAGCTATTTTATAGATAATTCATTTTTAGACTAGAGCACAGGATTACGTTCTCCGCCCTGTCCTGCCCTGCTAGATGCCTCTGATCTCTCATCCGTCAAAACAGGACAGGATAGGACATAAATTTAAGCTTTGCCCAGTCCTGTTTTGTCCTGTTACTAACCTCTGTCCCGGCGTGCGGCAGGACAGAGCACAAAACTAAGTTTTGTCCTGTCCTGTGTCCATCTCTGTGACATACCCTCTAGAACTTCATGAATGTGAGAGCAAATAAAACATGCATGAAAAAGTTTTTATCAACTACATTAGTGAGTTTAACTTATGATATATATGAGAGATAGGAATGTGGGCATGACTGTGAGTTTTATGCTCACACATACTCGAAAGAAGTCCCGTATAACATCGAATTCCTAATTGTTTTCCCCTAAAATCAACGCATGAACGGAAATAAGAAACAAAAGAAATCTAGTAGAGAAGATACAGGGACCATTGCGAGCAAAAATGAGAAAGAAGAGTCACTTGATAGCATAGAATACGTGTTTGTGTATGCGGAGAGAGTGCAAAAGAAGTCGACAAGGGAAAGATGAACACAGACGGCAAAGAAAAGAATTTATGGTGGACGAAAAATGAAAGACTAGTTACGACCACCACAATGGTACTGACAAAAAATGAAAGAATCAAAGGTCTTCTTCATGCTACTATTGTCCGTTTCAAAATAAAAGACAGATTGCATTTTTCTAGATAACTTTCGCTGAGAAAAAGATATAGACCTGCGATTTTCATCATTCGAAAGAGCGATGTCAGAGTCATGATCAGTTTAGAACTCATTAAGGCGAGAGATACTTTTTTTATAGGTACTTTTGGATCAAAACTTTTCCCTTTAAGTAGTTTTATCAATTTTCAAAATAATCTCAACCATAGAGTGACGGGACGGGAGAGAAAAAAATGAGTAGAGCGGGACGGGACGTGACGCGGGACAAAAGGTCACAGGATATTGGATAGACAAGACTCAATGCTTCTCCCGCTTACTCCCGTCAATGGAACAAAAAGCAAAAATAACCGTCCATGTGGTGCATTACAATGGTGATCGATTTTATGTAGCAAAAGTAGAAGAATGATCGTCACTGCAGGCGACTCATACGGAAATAGACATTGAACCAGTAAATGAACAATAGTGACGGTCAATTCGATTTGAATGAGATGAGCGATGACTAACGGATGAGACAATAACCATAATATTATCTGTCTGACGTAGAAAATGCAATATATATATAATTACGTATGTATATCGTTGCTCATTCTGTCTCATTTCGTCCCAGTTGTTAATCTCAGAAGTTATTCTTTTCAATTCGTATTCGTACATGGGTTCTATGCCGAGAAAAGTCGATGACCCAGCTATTCGCCATACTCTCGTATTATCTCGTTCACGGCGAACAATACGCTAGCCTCTCTCCTACTTCAGCACCACCAGCGTCCGCTCGTACTTCTAGTCACACACTTTATTCTTATGAAACAAATGAACATATACGTCGGCTTGTCCAAGCGTAACGCGATGACGTTTTGTCCGTACTGTCTTCAAATTTTCTCAGCAACGAAATCCATTAGAAATTTGATTTTTTCATCGGAAGATGTGTCTTCTTAGATACTCTTAGAATCCGGTAAATTTGAGTTTATTTAGCTAGCCATTCTGAAAATCATAGCAAAAATATACAGCGTTGCGCGATGATGAACAAGGGACACAAATTTGGGGTTGTTATATTTGTTCTTTGTTTTTCTCCAAATGTATATTATCCTGAACAAAATATTTTATAACAGATTTGTAGAAAACACTTTGGAGTATTAATGTGAGAAATGCTTTTTTGAGAAAGGTCTTTTATTCATGGTGAAACTTTGGTCACACTAACGTTACGCGATAACGAAAACCAAAAAAATAAAACCCTTTTCCTGCTATTAAGATATCCACAATATTGAATGAATGCGAGTTAAATCTCGTCTTCTGAAAACTACAAATAGCTTTTACCCATTTCCTCCCTCACTATATCTGATAGTAGTGGTGATATTTAGACCTGA